GGTGGGGATCAAAGTCATGCTAAAGTGGCTGCGGCTAGCTTCTTAGTGCTAGGCTTTGACCTGTTGTGCCACCAGGGAGGACCCAGTAATGTCTTGTCTTAGGCTGATAACATTTTATTAATTAATGTGCATTCATTTATACATAGCTTTATGTTCCTTTTTCATTTATATACTTTGTTTAACCATGTGAACAAATCTGAATTAAGCATATATCAAAGAATCATCAGTCAATGAGTGAAATGGTAAAATAGTAAAACTTGTTCGAGGGGCCTGGAGAAATAGGCACTTATAGATCAATTTGAAAAGAAAACAGAGCGAGAATGTTAGACTACATTGGCTCGGTTAGATACAAAACTGGCTGATATCCTCTAGGACACCAAAAACATAGTTTATTTATCCCAACTGGACAGAAGTCATTTGCATCTCTACTGAACAAGAAAATCTATACATTACCCTGTAACACTGTACCAGGGTTATAATCAACAGCAAAGTCAAACTTGAATTCTTTCTTTTAGATAACTGAGTAACCATGGATGAGCCTGTTAAATTGTGCTAAACATTTGAAAGGACATGTTCATCCTCTGCATTGTTCACAGGCTTTCGTGAATTTTTCTAAACAGCATCGAAGCTGCTGGCAAGAAGGTAGTTCAGGTGATATTCTGTGAGGGGTAGAATGAAAAGGAAGGGAAGCCAGAAAGAGTTTGATGGAATGGCATGAAAGGGAACGGGCAAGAGCAGTTAGTCTGGATGAGGTCCTGAGGTCCTGAGGAGCAAATGCAATATGGGAAAGGGAGTAAGATGTTTGGAAGAACAAACATTTGTGCTGGAGCTGTAGGGTGAGCAGCTGCAAACAGTCTCAGTGCGTAGGTATAGCCACAGCACCTGCACCTCTGGTTTGTATCCCAGTTCTTGTATGTGTAGATGAATAAATCTTTAAAAAATATATTTTAAAAAAGATTTATTTATTTATGCAACAGAGTGGGAAGCAGAACAAGCAGACTGACAATGTACTGAGGGGAGCAACGGGTGAGACAGGAGAGGTCTGTACAATGTATTGGTCATCTCCCCGGCTGGGGAGTGAACTCACTGAAGTGACTGTGGCGACCTCCGTAATGCTATGCTTTAACCTGTTGCACCACCAGGGAGGGCCAATACATAAATCTTAAAAAAAAAACAAAACATCCTGTATTGCCTTCTTCCAGCACCAGCATATCTTTAAAACTGGATGATTTGGAACCAGAATCACTAATCAAGAAGTCAAGGACTTACTGTTTTTGGCTCTAGAAACGAAATTCAAACTTACGTTTATCAGAACAGCTCTCATGGACTAAAATCTGTTGGGTTGCTTCCCAGGTTCAAATCCCACTTTGAATATCTAATAAACTCTGACTGACTGTTCTTGAGATGATTTTTCAGAGCATTTATCAGGGGATGGTGACTTAAGGCATAAATGCAAAGATGGAATCAGAGAGCTGAGGGTGGCCGGAGGTGACACCCAGAATCGAAGGAATCAGACCTGAAAGGAGGGGCTGGGGGCTGGGGTATTTCCCTCTGTTCACGGCTGTGCAGATCCACTGTCCCCAGGTAAGCTTAGAGGTGTTGGCAGGAGTCTGTCTACTAGCTCAGTTAACTTTTAACTTCCTTTGGGTCATATAAAAAAGGCAGAAACTGAGACCCAGGAAACAGGCACCCTCACCTTGGGGCGAGTTTCTGCAGCTCTGCTCTTTGCCCCCACCTCTGGGCCTTCTCCTTGTCTCCAGCCCCAGAAGGCTTCGGGAAGTCACATGGGGTGTCCTGGCACTCCCCAGGGCTTCCTGCTGAGACCAGGTTTCCTAGTATTTTAGGCAGCTGCCTTATTCCTCCCCCCCCATTTCCCTTTTGTTTTTTGTTGTTGGTGAGGTTGTGTGTCCACAACCCTGGGATTTCCTCATCCTCCAACTCCAGAATTCAATTTCTTAAATTTCTGTATTTTTTAAGGTCAGTGGAAACTTTTAAAAAAGCAACACTAAGCTAACATAGCCTTAAAAAAAGCTAATCTAGTCTTACTGCAGAAAGGAAGCTTTGTTCTATTTCCCCCTTAAAAGTGATGCTCACTAGTAGTTCTCAGATACTGAAAGAAAGCCACACTATTGACTGGTAGGGAATGAACCAGATGTGGGTGTTTCTGAAAAAACAGTCACTCAGAATCTTTTCCCTCCCAGGCTTCTTCACAAACCACTCAAAGAATTCTTTCCCCAGATACTTTAACTCTGGGAAAACTGAAGGACCAAAGTTCCTTTTCCTTTTTTTTTTTCAGATTAATTTGTGCATACAGAACTGGGGTACAGCCCAGAGGTGTGGTGGATGAGAGTATTCATCAGAGACAGAGTGGGGAGCAGAACAGGCAGATCGA